TGCCCCTGGTTCGAGTCCGTGCTAAATTTCGTAGACTCGACCAAAAGACTTTGCCCCTGGTGCAAGTCCAGGCTAAATTCGTTTGACATTACCAACAGACTTTGCCCCTGGTGCGAATCCAGGCTATTGATCATGAGACCAATTTGAGAGATTTGGCCCCCGTTGTGTGGTGTGTGTGTTTTGGTGAGAGAGAGAGTGGAGAGAGAGAGAGAGAGAGAGAGAGAGAATATTTTACATATCTGCATATATATATATAAAATTTATTAATATAAAAAATATATTTTTTACACATAAAATGTTTTTTTTATTGAAATAATCACACGATTTTAAATGTGATATAACACAGTGTTCAAAAATTTTTTATTTAAATTTTTTAATTAAATTTTATTAAAGAAAATTACTTGAAATTTTTTACATTAAGAATTTAAAGGCTCCTTATTCTCTTGTAGAATTTATCACTACGCCAATTAATCACTTATTTGAGTATTTAAAATACTATAAATACAGTAATTTAAGTATTCGAAATAAAAGTGATTAATTACTCGAAATAAGTGATAAATTGGCGTTACTAGTAATAAATTTCTATAAGGGTTGAAATAAAGTATAAGAGATAAATAGGCTATATGTGAGCCGTATGCGAAATGTGAGATGTAAGACGCATATTGAAATTTAATTTTTCGATATAACTTTCAAAAATGTACACGAGGTACAAAAAATTAGCTTGGACATTTGTAAGACTTAAAATTGGGATTAATTCTCAATTCTATTAATTAAATTTCGATATAACACACCTTACAAACATCCGCGCGGCTCACATATAAGCCCATTTATTAGTGCAATTTTTTAAGTTCCTTATTTTTCAAAGTTCACTTTTTACGTTATCAAATATTTTTACGTTTTCAAGAATTTTATATTTTTACTTACCGCAGTTTCTTATCAAATGTAAAAATCTTTTATCGCAGTCTATAAAAAATTGAAACAATTTACAATTTTATGATATATATTATTTATTACAATTTCTATATATATGCACATCTGTCAAATATCGTGATTTATTTCACATTATTATTATCTATTTTATAAAAAAGAAAACAAAAAACACTTGCAACAATCAAAAATAAACGCCTGCCGCGAACGGAAAATGCCAAGAAAGCACGCAATTTCCGCGAATCTCGTAATTTTTTTTGAAAAATCAACAATTTCAACGAAATTGTAAATTCTTCAAATCACTGCACAATATAATTCACAATAATAATTTTCAGTAACTACGATAAAAAATCGTATACTGAAACCGCAAACGAAAGTGCAATGGGAGTAAGAGTAAAAGTCTGTGATAAAATAATTGGCAATAGAAAATTAATAATTTTCAAATAGAAAAAATTTTGAAATTACCGAGATTTACAAATAATAAAGTAAAATATTAAATAATTTATGTGACTTTGTATAGTGAACACAATCAACTTGTGGCGAGATCTTGACTACTCATAATTTAAGTAAGCAATTCTAAACAAATTAAGATCTTTCACGATAAAAAAAAAATACTTATTAATATAAATTAATATACCAAAAAAATAAAAATATCTTAGACAAATCAGGTGAATATACTGCAATGACGAACTTACTTGGAAATATCCTTGATGATGGGACTACTTTTTGATGCTGGATAACATCTAATTTGTTTTCAATTTCTCATATCAAGCGGTTCTGACGATAATTTTAACTAATAATTTGTTCAAAGAATTGATGACGTGAATGGCCTTCAACCTGTTCTACTAACAACAGGGAACTCGTTTACATGTTTTTTGACATAATCAAAAAGTTTACCATCTTAACTAAAAATGGTTATCCGATTAGAAAAACTTCTAATTTAATAATGTTATAACGTAACCCATTTAAATTCATCGACTTATTAAACCAAAATGTTCATTAAAAATAGACTCTAATGCGTATATGTCATAATTTTTTCTAAGAGAATTTTATTGTTTTTATATTTACTGAAGAAGGCTGAGTACACAGCCGCAACGTTTTATTATTTTTTTATTATCATTGTATCTACAAATAAATCATTATGTGTTGACTTACATCTCTCACTAATTTAATATGCTCGTTATAGTTGGCCCTGTCTTTCTAAATCTTAATTTTATAATATCACACGAGCCTTGTCTTTAAATATCTAATTGTTTTCCTTATTAAATTTAAATAATTTATGTTTTCGAATTTTGCTCGCGGAGAGGATCTTTAAAACAAGATTTTTAGAAGAGAGGACCTTTAAAATATAAACAGGCAAAAACGTTGGAAAATTAAAGCGCGCGTTTAAACAGATAAACGCAATGAAATAAATACGCATTGTTTTCTTATCGCTGTAAGCTCACAAGCTTCTGACGTGCTATACACTTTTATATATTATACAAGGTGTCCGGTAACTAACGGACCAATGATTAAGGGCGGATTCTCTGGCTAATTTGGAGACGATTTTTCCTTAGCAAAAATGTTGAGAAGTCAATAATTTTCGAGTTATAAGCGATTGAAAAAAATAGGTTTTTTGAAAACTAAACGTTTTGGAGTTAAAAGTCTAACATAATTACATTCTTCAGTTAATTTCAGGTAGAGTTTACTATAATAAAATTTTAATTTAAGGCTTAGTTATAAAGATACATAATGACAAAGATTGGAAGTTGTAAAAAATGATGACCTTTTTCGACATTTTGCTGAGGAAAAATCGTTCCCAAATTGACCAAAGAATCCATTTGTAATCATTGGTCTGTTAGTTACCGGACACCCTGTATATTGGACACGATTTTCGTTTGTTTCAGATTCTCGAGAGTTGAAGTAGGAACATACGAGTATCATATATCGTTTGTGACTTGCCGAATGAAAGCAAGACAGAGAGCGAACGAGATGATGAGCTTAATAGCTCATAATGTTATAAATAAATAAAAAAATTATAACCTGACCTACTAGTTATTGAATCTTTTTTTAATAAAATGTTTCATTATTATTATCATCTAAGTCTAAGTCGTTTATTACTTTTTAGTTTTTAATAATTAATTTAATTTATTCTAGTCATTTTTATATGAGAAAAATAATATCACGTATACGTTTTATAATGAATTAATATATTTCGGGAACCGAATTATATATTCTTAATAATATAAAAGTGTTCAAAATTATATTTAACTTTAAATTTAAATTATTTTATAGCAAAGAGTTCGAAATCTCTTACACACATAATGGGGATTTTTTTTCATCCATATAATTCGCAATTAAGTATATATGTTAATTATTAATTTTAATAAAATAAAAATTAAAATTAAAGGTCAAATATAATTTTAAACACAAATATATTAAATTAATTATAAAACGTATACCTATGATAGTATTTTTCTCGTACAAAAATAATTAGAGTAAATTAAATTAATCATAAAAGATTAAAAATTAATTAAAGAATTTAAACTTATATTTTATATAATAATAATAAAACATTTTATTACGTCAAACCGTCGTGAAATAATTAAATAAATTTGCTTAGTTAAAGTTACGTCAAAGTCAAGTTTTCTAAGCTTATAAAACATTTTATTAAAAAACAGATTCAATAAATATAAGTACATGTTATATATATACTTATATTTATTGAATCTGTTTTTTTATAAAGTTTTATTATTATCATATATAATATAAATTATTTAATTATTTTTTTATTTTTTTATGAGTAATTTAATTTGTTCTAGTTATTTTTGTACGAGAAAAATACTATCACGGGTATACGTTTTATAACGAATTAAATATATTTATGTTCAAAAATTATATTTGACCTTTAATTTTAATTTTGTATTTTATTAAAATTAATAATTAACATATATACTTAATTGCGAATTATATGGATGAACAAAATCCCTATTATGTGTGTAAGAGATTTCGGAACTCTTTGCTAAAATAATTAAAATTAAAAGTCAAATATAATTTTTGAACACTTTTATATTATTAAAAATATAATTCGACTCTCGAAATATATTAATTCATTATAAAACGTATACGTATTAGTATTTTTCACATATTAAAATGATTAGAATAAATTAAATTAATTATTAAAAACTAAAAATTAATTAAACGACTTAGACTTAGATGATAATAATAATGAAACATTTATTAAAAATAATTATAATAGGTCAGGTTAATATTTTATTTATTTATTTATTTATTTATTTATAACATCATAAAATTCTGTCCTTTCCGAAATACGCGAACGCTACGAAAAGATAAATCTCGTACATGCCGCCGGACGAGTTCATGAGCATGAGACGCTCTTATCTTGGGAACGTATTAATAGTTACTGCATTGACCACTACTACGATATGGCGCTGAAATCAGTGAGAAATGCTGGTCTCTCCTTCATCCAGACCTTTGGCGATCTGTCTATTAATCTGTGTCATGATCATTAGCCTGGATTGCAACCATGGGCAAAGTCTGTTGGTAATGTCAAACGAATTTAGCCTGGACGTTGCACCAGGGGCAAAGTCTTTTTTGGTTCAAGTCTTACGAATTTAGCACGACTCGAACCAGGGGCAATGTGTGTCGGTAAGAGGGCAAAGTCTATCGCACGAAGATGCGCGGTCTCTTCTTTAGGCAGGCCTTTGGCGATCTGTCTATTAATCTGTGACGGAATCGACCCATTTACCCTGCTTTTTACCGAGTTCACGACGTAGTTCACGTCTACTTTCTCAGGGAGCGCATTAGTACACGCGTCCACTGAATTGCGGTAGTCGCTCTCAGGTTTCAAATAAAGTCTCTGATGTCAAACAATTTCTTATTGTGCAATTTCTAAATTACATTCAATGTAATTGCTATGCAGCTACATATTTTTATAATTTTTTTTCTTTTATTATGCATATGTTATTGTAAAAGAAGTATATTATTGATAAATCAATTTTTTCAAGGAAGTATATATATATATCCTCGGGATAATTTTTAATTTTTTTTATTAAATTATAAAATCATTTTATTAGATTATACTAAGGATCGAAGTAAAAGGGTATATCATTTTGTTGCTCCAATAACGTGGCTAATGCCAGTTCTATGTTTTCTGGCAGATGGTCTAGAAGCATACGTGGCATCACTGATAATTTCGTAAATTCTTCTGCTTGCGCCCATCGCATCTCGTATTTCCTTTCTTTCGCGAGCTGTTTCTTGCTATAATATACGAATATAAATATAATATATAAAAATATAAATATAAATATAAATTATCAATATTATATAAAATCTTGGAAAACTTTTTCCTTCGATTAATTTTCATTAAAAACATTTGCATCTACACTTAAAATATATTTTAGAGAATTCTATCTAAAGTATATACATCAATATATCTAAAAAAATATATATTTATTTTTGTATAATTATATAGATATTGATGTACACACACACACACACATATATATATATGCATATACTTTAGATGAAATTCCTTGTAAAAATCATTATTCAAATAACAAAAATAATAAATAAGAGCAATGCACCTCTTTCTCTCCGTTTTTCTAGCTTGCATCTTGTTATATGAAGAATACGGCCAGCATTAAACAATTGTTCTTTCGAATATCTTCTTTTCGTTATGTCACGTTCTATATTTTTATTATCCTGCAAAAAAATAGATGCAACATACTCGTAAATTCACATATGCATACGAAATGTAGTATTTATATATAATTTCTGAATTTTTATAAATATATTTTTGTCTAACCGCGTCACTAGACTTGGCAAGTAAAGGTGATTGGCCCGGAATTGTGCTAATTATATTATAGTTGGTCCACGTTTTACTCAAATCATTCTCAGGAACTCCAAACAAAGCGTATCCAAATCCATTCAGAACCACTCTGTACTAAAGATAAAATATTTTTTGTATTAGAATAGAGTTTAATTTTATCTGGATATATTCCAAATTTTTGAGAATTACGTATTCCCATTAAAATACCTTAGGTAATCGACAAGCCCGAAGAGTTGTCAATAATGAAGTCCTTAAATTTTCTATACTGTCCACGCTGAGTCTCATTACAAGATCATCACCGAGTCCAATGGTCAACGCAAACTCTTCCGTGATCCTGGCAGCATCTCTGCTAAGTAGCCCAGCTTTTCGGTAGATTAAATTAAAGATTATTAATTAAGTTAATGTTTGCGAAATTAACAAAATTAGCAATTTTAATAATTATATTTTTAATAAGTAGAGTTATCGTATAACATTAATTATATAAATAAGCAATTACCAGGCGTAGCAAAAGCATAGACTCTCAAATCCGGATAACGGGGACGTATCAATAATCCCAAAAGAATCGCTAAACCGGCTCCTAAACTATGACCTATAAAAAATAATGCGCATTATTTCATTACGAAATTTTTAACTTTATTAAAAGTATGAACATATTTACCTGTGATTGTTAGATTGTAATTGGGATATGTGGCAAACGCTCTTTCCAGAACTTTATAGTTTTCCAATTGCTTCATGATTACTTTCACTCCTATTATCATGCCTTTATGTGCCTATAAATTTTCCTTCGATTTAGAATTTAGGATCGAATTACTTTCATGTATCTGTGCGAAGAAAATAGAGCAATTAAACTAACTGTGCTATCTGGAGGAACGCCAGGACATTCGAATGTATCGGACGCAGCTGCAATATCAGTGATTAAATCTCGCAAGGATAACGATCCTCGTATAGTTATGACGATACTAGCAGTTTTGTGATCCGCAATTACGCAGAACGGTATCTACAAGATTTCAAAGATTAATACTAAAAAACGTCAGACACAGGAGCGTAGAAAGAGTTTAAGAGCAATATACCAACTTCGCATAAATGATTCTTTAGAGAAGCGAATAAAATATCCTCCTCGGGCAGCTTCGATAGATATTTAATGCCAGAAAGATAACAGAGACAACAATTATCATCTAGAATAATGTTACGCTTTCGTCTAAAAAAAATATATACATATATATATTTTTTTAATATTATAAAATTAATTTTCATATTATTATAAAATAATTATTATATATATGTATATATAACTATATACATTATCTCATAGTAGTAATAATATTTTATAATTACACATATATATATATATATATATATATATATATATATATGAAATAAATATTTTATATTATAATTGATTATAATAAAATCATATAATTTTTTATATTATATTCTTTTACCGGAAACAAGCGCAGCACGTCATGCCCCGTATTAAACGAAAACATCCAGTACATAGATGCTGATATATTACAAAGAGCCAGCCGTAAGAAGCGATCGATAATTGCAGGTAGTGATGAGCAGCTTCCAAGGACATCCAACTAGGTGTGTCCGAAAAGATCGCGCTGCTGTCTAAAAAAATATAGGCAGCAAATATTTGATAATCAACAAATATTGACATTTGTGATATATATGTCATATTCTTTCTGATGTAAATAACGTACCTGAAGTATATTTTGGGCGCGTGATTAGGTTTAACTTTCGCAATTCATGAGTTTCTCGTTTCTGTCGGACTCTCAGTAAGATGCATCCCGCTATTACGTCCGAAGGGACCAAATTGGTACCGCGGAATAATGCACTTAAAAGACCTACGAAAATATTTCTATTAGCACAAAATTTAAAAATATCAAGAAATTATATTTAAAAAATAGATAAACTGTTCTCTCTCTCTCTCTCTCTCTCTCTCTCTCTCTCTCTCTCTCTCTCTCTCTCTCTCTCTTCTCAAATTTCTCTTATAATTACAGACATTAATTTTAAGATGTGCAGATTAATTATCAATAACTATCAGCGCAATCCTTCAATATTTAAAATGCTTTCGTAACTTTACTGCGAATTAAAATTCATTTCCTCTTACATATCGAGGTAATTGCGTATGTTACGAAGTGATCGCGTAATCGCTATCTTTAAAAGAGCGATGGATGAGAGAGCGATGCGCGTCGAGAAGAGAATCCCACCGGCGCCCAAACTAGAACAGAGATTAGCGATTTGATTTATCGTCGAGCATCCCGGACGACTCTTTTGCGCTCCGGGTTTCGCGATTTGGCCCGCGTTCCAGTTTCCGGCATGCGGCAGGACCTCTTCGTAGGTCAGCCGTACCTATGTCTCACCAGCGACATGTTGAAAGGTCTCGCTCGCGCTCTCGTCCTTGCGCATCCACCACAGGAATTTGAATCTGCGTAGCCAGATGCGCGAGATCTTGCCGTGCTCCACGGAACTCTCCAACTGTCGTCTCTCCAGGGAACCGATCGGGTCGAACACCAGAGCGAGACCGAAAATGCTGAGACCGATCAGGATCCAGTCGAAGAACACCAGGGCTTCAACGACGGTAATGGAATAGGATGCATGATTGCATTCTACGCTTTGTCCGAAAATCCACATGGTGCCTAGGACATTCCATCCGATTTCCGGTAGCAGCATAGATATCCTGAATTAAATTTAAAAAAGGTTTTTTTTTTTACATTGAAATTGTTTTATATTAGTGACAATTAGTAGATGTTTATAATATTGCAATAATATAAAATTAAGATTGATATATTCTAATCGATCGTATAATTAGAAGCAAAATAATTATATTGGCAATATATTGTATGTATGTATATAGATATATTTAGAGAGAAAAAGAGAATTTATGTACATATTAAACTGCTGTACTTTGGCATATTTTATAATTTACATATATTTATACATATTTGCATGTTATTGGTACTGTAGTTTGTTTCATGAGAAAATTGCATCTTTACATAACATAGCAAAATAATAGAAAATTGCTCGTAACAATTTGAATTTTTTTTCAATGTCTGTTTATACACAGGATGCATTTTTTGCTTTTCTTTGTGCAATCAGATTTGTATTCTATGTAAATTCGATTATAATTTTTGTGTAATTAGTGATGAAAAATAAAAGAATTTTAACAAATATACGTTCGAGAGAAAAAATATATGAGAAAATTATTCATTTTCGACCAAATTAACATTTAATAAAATTTATAAAATTTAGTTATAAGAATATATAAATTACGATAAACAAAATGGCAACTTCTATTTTCTGATAAAAAAAAATCGAACATTTGCTGTTAAAAAAAATAATGCGACAAAAGTATATAAAATTTCTTTTATGTGCACCTTTATATGAAGGTTGGCTTAGAAAGCTGGCTGACGTGACGCTAGTTTATTTATTGCTTACTTGATTATTAGAAGCGGTTCGACGTATCGTCGGGCATGCGTATCCATGATAGTCCCTCTCGCGCTATGCCTAATGATAACGAGTATCAAGAGCGTGACGATGCTGAGCATGACCGCTTCGCCGAGAAGATACACGCGCACTAATTCACCTCCCAACCGACAATTCCACGTATCGTCGTAATACCTTACGCAGGCGATCCCTATAAGAATCAACCTGTAAAACGCATAGTCGATTACGAGAAACAAACTAACAAAATGATCCGTGCGATTTCGATCGAGCGATATGCAACAATTTCACATTAAGAAGAAATTCAAAAATGCCGAAAGTTCGTATCTAAAAGCGAGATCTCGTTAAATTTTTCATCGAAATTATTGCACCTTAATCGACTTGATTTCTGACAGAATGTGGTTTTTAAATTAATAATTCGTATCAGGTATATGCGGCTTTCTATCAGTGATGGGTAAGATACACTTAAAATGTATCTCGATACAAATACGGATACGTGTAAAAAATATATCTAGATACAGATACAGATACATAAATTAAAATGTACGTAGATACAGATACTCAGATACTTAAAAGTATCTCAGATACATATCAGATATATACTTGTAAATTATATTTTATCATAATAATTGTAATATGTACAAAATGTACTGAATAATTCTTTTATCTTTATTCATATTTTTGTTTATATTACGACTTTATTTGTTAGTCTTAACACGTAAAAAATGCCTCAAAGATATTGTCACTCAAACTATTTCGCCATGGTACTAAAATTTGACCAATGCTTAATAATCGCTCGACCGGTGTTGATGACGATATGTTAATAACTTGCAGTCTTGATCGTTTAAAAATTTAAAGAATCGGGCTATTTAAAAAATATGTGAAAATGTATCTGCAAATGTATCTGAAAAAAGCAATTCAGATATCATGTTTTGTATCTAGATACGCAGATATAGATACTTCAATTCGAATATATCTCAGATACACAAAATGTATCTAGATACTACCTAACACTGCTTTCTATTCTATAATATTCTATACAATAATATTCCGACGATTAGTCAACTGATTACTTGCAGTCTAATGACAATACTTACCATACAATACGAATAAATAATTCGAACAAGCCTGGATACACAAGGTCGTCGGTTGCGGCCAACCATTTTCGCCCAAAGAGCTTCAACGCAGGCATTTCCCTGTAGAAAGAGATTGTACTGTCAATTCTACAAGTTCAGTATTAGTCATCGAGAGAGTTAACAGTGAAATATATGTGGCATATTTGTTAATGGCAGAATATTTTTATCTAGATTTTGGTATCTTCATATTTATGATATTTAAACTAGATTCGGTCACGATTCGTAAAGATCTTGCGAGGATTCGCGAAACGCGCGACGCGGAAAGTTTACTTAACGAGGCGCTCTTACGAATTTCGCAATATTATTACAGAATAAAGTAGATGCGGCTTTCTATGATCATAAATATCTCCAAAGATTCGGGCGATGAAATATCTCCTTGATCGCGAACCTCCGCCCGGAGAAAGCGTCGGAGAAAGTCTCTGTGTCCATCCCACATTCGAGACCGTATTGACACAACTTTCCGACATTCTTTTAAATGGACCGTGAATCTAACAATTTCAATCGCTCGTAGAAATAACTGAGAGCACAGCTGATTATGCTAGCGGTGATTACGTTCATAAGCAATCTCCATGAACGTTATTGAGAACATTTATATGTCGTTCTTTCGGTATAATACTAATCACGACCAACTGTTTCACAATTATTTTCGTGTCAAAGGAAGAGAATTGTCTGACAATTATCTTTGTATACAAACGGAAAAACAAAACAGGCAATATTGTGAATAATATTGACCTTCGCGATTCAAAAAAATAGCTTATTTTTCAACATAAGTTCTTTTAAAGAAGATGAAAAGCTCAAATTTATTTTTAAGAAATACTAATATATATTTTTCCGCGAATATATTCTTCTTTATTAATATATTTTAAAAAAATTCTTTCAACGCGCGTTGTATCTCTCTTTTAATATCGTCTGTAATTTTTAACAGTTTGAATGTTTCGTTTCTGATCTTCTTTGACACTTTTAAACTTGTATGCGAATTAACGTTCCCTAACTAGTTGCGTAAATAACTTTCATAGTGTTTAATTGCGGGAAAGCACGCAGTTTACATCATAACGCATGTACTTTTTGAACGCGTCAATTAGTTGCAGATATATTGCTTAACTACTTTCTTTCGTAAAGAACCTGATTACAAGAGAACGCGGAAATTATATCGCGTTATTATCGTATAAAACGATGGAGTAGAGAAAATTGATATTAATATTTAAGTAATTTCGTTATACCACTAACGACTACAAAAACTCGAATAAGAACTCGAAATCTCGAGTTATATCAAATTGTATAACTACTTATCGATGTCAAGATACAAATTATTTCTCGTTACAAAATTCCGATTATTACAGTCTTGTATGACACCGTTTAAATAAACCAGATATCAAGAAATGTAAAATTTTTTTACACATTCCCACGATTAAAGTAAGAAAAAGACTCCTGGAAGATTACAAATCTACAAAAAATTATAAATGCAACCGCACAATTATACTGACAGTAATCAACAGCTTCTTTGAAACACGTCATTATCTTACATTTGCTATTATCTGACACAGCGTAGTGTGGAAAATAGTAAAGAAGCTTATGTTAGATATATATTATCAAGCTTGTGAAAATTTATGATATAAAATAGCATTATTTACTATTCATGAAAATTATTATTCATGAGTATTTTTTCTAATTGCAAGTTGTATAACTATTAATAATGATTGTATAACTATGTTTAAACAATCACGTATAATTTTGATATTTAATTTTAGCAAAAAATTGAATAAAATAAAAATACACTTTAAAATAAAAATTCCTTTACAACTGTAATTGCAGATGCATAAACGCATTATTCAAGGTTAATGGGTCGAATTACGCAAAATTAAATATGTTGTATACATTTTGTAACTTGAAATGTGTGTCGTGAACTTGGACGAAACATATCAATCGGAAATACTCATTTAACGCTTGTATTCATTAACTCATTTCGTTGAAATTTTTTGTTTTAGTGGCGAAAGTTATGTATTTCTCTTGTAGATGTGATAATGAATATTTTCAACGAACTTGATATCATAATTGGAGAATGTTTAATGTGACAGGAGAGAGCAACTTATTATCTCGATACAAATAGTTAATTATTAGCAAACAATTTTTATAACTATATGTAGCTTCTAGAAACTGCATGTAACATTGAATAGTTGATATTTCGAGAAGAAATGTATATACAATTTATATATTTATCAATGACAAAAAATCTATAAGATGATATATATTTGGAATATTGCATTTATCAAAATTATATTACTTGGAATATCACTTATAATTCGTACACTAAAAAAAATATTAACTATATATATATAGCAAATTCGGTTGGATGCACTAGTGCACACTGAGTGCACATAAAGGTTATCGCACACAATTTTACAATGACTTCAGTAATTAAAAAATTAAAATAATTATTAGTAAGAGCTATTATTATCATTATTCACATTGAACAACAATAATAATAGCTCTTACAATTAATTATTTTCCTTTTTTAATTACTTGTATCATTGTGAACTTGTGTGTGATAAACCTTTACATGCATTCAGTGTGCACTAGTGCATCCAATCGAATTCGCTGTTATAACTAAATTGTTCAGGTAATTCACTATTTTTTAATTGAACATATATAAGTATTTAAGTTAAATATACGTTTTGCTTAGATTTAATATGTTATATTTATTTTAAATATTTCTTATGTTCAATTAACAAAATAGTATTTAGTTGAACAATTTAGTCAAATTAACCATTTTTTTCAGTGTTATAAAGCAAGGTAATATCTTTTTATATTAAATTATATTATAAAACTTCTAATTATCATAATGATATTAAAATGAAGTCTTTTAGTTTTCCTCGTGTTCTATATATATGTGTCCAATGTGTTCTCTATTAATTTCAAAAACTGACATAACAACATTCTATTTATATAATGCATATAATATCTTTCTCAATGAATAACAATAAACAATTTTATATAATGCTATTTTTCTTCCAATTAGTATGTTTATTTAAAAAAATATTAGAAAATTAGTAGAAAAATTCTTATATAAGAATAGTAGATGTTTACGTTATATAATATTTAAAATATATCACTCATAACATTTAAAAACTATCATCGACAACAAAGATTTCAACTTTTACTCAAGTCAACCTCAATCAAAGATTGATTATCTTCAGAAGCACAAATACCTAACTACGTCTAACGGTTCATTTTGGTTTAAACATCCTTATTTAGATTTCTGTAGTATGATAAACCGATATTTAGTTTATTTTTATATAAATAATGCAAATACTATTAAATACCTTTTAAACAATAATTTATCTTTTTTCAATAAATATTACATATACAATAATTTTATTATAAATGCAAGAAATAAAATCCTCTTCTAAGATTACTTGAAAACTCTTCATTATAGATCTCGAAAACAGTTAATCGCTTCTATACTACATATTTGATATTTTATAGCATAACTAATGAAGAGTTTTCAAATAATCTTAGAAGAGAATTTTATTTCTTGAATTTATAATAAAATTATTGTATATATGTAATATTTATTGAAAAAAGATACGTTATTGTTTAAAAGGTACTTAATAGTATTTGCATTATTTATATATTTAGATAATACAATTATATATTTAGATAATACGATACCCCAGTGCTTTGTAAACATGAAACATTTTATTTCGACTAATTGTGATGAGGAAGATTAGCTATAACTTTGACAAATATCCCACGATACATGATGTTTTATTACACCCATATTGCTGGGTCGCTAATAAAGGTGTATTATGTGTAAATGATGTTCTTACCTACGAGTAGGCGCGAATCGATATCCGGTGAATCCGCCTTACACACGCGTTGAAATCTCCCTTGGAAACAAATCTGCCGCGAACGCGGCGGCACTCTACTTGGCGCACTTTGTGCTCTCTTCACTTGCTCGCTTTCACGGGAATTCTACCGCCCGGTTCCACAAGAGCTCGAAGGAATCTAACCGGAATTTCCGCCTAATCGTCGGACTCTGCGCCTTTCTCCGAGCACTCGCGCGCCCGCTCGCGCGCGCGCGCGCGCGTTGCAAATCTCAACAAAACTGGAGCACTTCCTGCGGCTCTATGCGCACTCTGCGTTCCCGTTAAACGCGCGTCACGGAAAACCGATTTTCGTGATCGCGCACCGGAGAGACCGATCTTCTTCTCGAAGTCACGCGAATCGCGCCGTGCAAATCCTTCTACCCTTCCTTGCTCGGCCGCTGTTTGATCCTGTTCTCCGATCGACGCGCATGCAACAGCCGCCTCGATATCTGATTAACCGTTCGTTGCACACGCCGCCGATTTTAGCACCACGATTTTGGAAATCACACTTATCGCACGTATGGAGATATGCATATCGTACGCGACACGGGCACCTTTCGGCAACCGGTACCAACTCTGTCCTTGAAACACTATCGTGTAAATCGCGATATCACGTCAATGGCAACAGTATATGCCGAATCAAAAGAATCTCGATCCCCGGTGGATATATATAATACGCAATATTTTTTGCGACGTCAAAAAAAATTACCCAATATAGGGGACCATCACATATTGTGCACTATACACGACTCGTTCACCTTGCGGCACTTCGCGCGAGCGTCCGAATCTCACGATCCTGTTGACCGCGACTGTCCGGTACCACTGCAGATACTGTAGAGAACTTTCCCTCTCTGCGCGCATACGACGAGATATCGCGCGCGGTGTTCTGGCCGCGAGGAGGAAAAATGCTGCGAAAAAGGAGAAAAGGAAGGAACAGACTAGGGATAAACGACCGCCGAGTCGAAGGTGGGAGCGACGAATCGACCGCGCACCTGGCGAACGTACCTGGCCGTTCCTCTCGCGGGAATAGGAGATGCAGTGAATGCCGATATCCGGTGATGGATCTAGAAAGGAGGACTGATCGAGGAGGGGACATACACCGTGATGTTTTTATTAGCCAGCATCAAATTTATATGTTACACGCAAGACAAATCCCGTTCGATCCCGTTAATATCCCGTTCAATTTAATTTATCATTTCAATTCCTCAAAATGTCGAAATTCTTGCCTTATTGCGTGTAATCAAATATCTCTGATTTAGTCTTCGTCGATATTACTCACATTCGCAATTTGCAATTACAACTGTACTTTATGTATATCACGGAGAGAATTTTCTCTTAGAATTTGCCCTGAAAATCACAGTAATCGTGGGGCAATATGATGTTAGAAGAATTTTATAAAAATTTCTCTAATATTAATATTTACCACGATAAAAATATTAATATGGACATAGTAAATTTTACTATGTATGTACGGGGTAAAATTAATCGAACATTGTTTCTATCTTATTATGTATATATTAATATTTTCCATTGTGGCAAATATTAATCAAAGAAACTCTTAAAAAAAATAAAATAATAAAATTCTTCCAATATCATATTGTCTCATGATTACCATGATTTTCAGGATAAATTCTGAAGGAAAATTCTCTCTGCGTATATTATACATATTTAGAATATACGTAAGACGTATTTTTTTCTTACTGTGTTCTTTATCGCTTGAATAATATATGGTTCATCAGTATTAATTGAATTTATATAAGCTGAAACTCGATCTTATAACCGCGTAGTACTATTCAACTAAAATAATAAGTATTGACTACATATACATATTTAATGATCGTATATATGAATTCTGCATACATCAGTTTCTTAATTAGACATGTGTAATTGCAATTAGCGTGTATTACAACAGGTTTCCATACATTACGAAGCAAATTGAATATGAATATATTTCACAACTATATGAGTTCGACAGGAAATGACAATATGTTCTTGGAACATATTATATGGTAATATTGAAAATATTGAAGATATTTAACTTTAAAGACTAAATCCAAACTAAATATAGATATATACATAAAATAACCGAAGCAGTTGTAATAGTGATCTGAGGGGAAATGTCTATATAATCGAAGTATTTTTATTTACAATAAATGAAAAAAATAAGAAATGCAACGTTACACATTTGATATTTTTTCGTCTCTTTACGCAATCGACGGCATTATTTATGCAAAGGTCGGACTAATATAGCTTGCGTATATGCACAAAGTGCCTGCCTAAGTTTATAAAGTTTGATTTTACTCGAGAATTTTTGCTCTATTAGTGATATATATGTATCTAGCGACTTTAATAAAATTTTGACTAATTATAAATAATTTTTCAATGTCATGTTCGAATAATTCTATATCTCATAATATTAATGCAATCCTAAAATAAGCTGGCATACATATGTCTAACAATAAATTATGACTTTTATATGTAAACGTAATTTTACATATTAAAATAAATTTATATATTAAAATAAAATTCAAAATTATTGTATATTTATATCTTTATTTTTCATCACGCGTCTGGGATTACACAATTCGCACGATATTTACGGAAGAAAAAATATAACACAAAATCTCCTGGAGTTTAATCATATTGCAACATATATATATGTATGTTAATAATGGCGACGTGTCATGGGAATAAACATTTAGGAAGAATGACTTGTTTGGACATTCCATCGCGATTTTATAGATATCGAAATTAGTTCCGCTTCAAGACGTGCTCGACAGAACAAAATAACGTTCACGAAAAGATGCGTTATATGTTCTTTTCTTCTTTTTCGAGAAAAGAACATATCTGCGTTCACCAACCGGAAAGTTGAGCACCTTTTTTTATATATTTGTGCATCCGGCTCGAGATGTAATTCCTTTTTCCTTTAACCACAGCCTCGCGCGAGTTCGTAGAATGATGTCATAATCATCTTTTATGCAGAAAAGTTGTGCTACTATCCTTCCAAGACTTTATATGTCGATCCCTTGCCGCTGCGAACATAACGATTAAATAAAATCAGCAGAATAAAAATGAGAGCGTTTGCAATTTATAACCCGCTCTTAGAATCGATATGTCTCGAAAAAACCGTGTTTTATTTCGTTATTTTAATGTAAATAAATTATTTTTCTTACATATATCTTTTGGTTTTACTCAAGAATTTTTTTCTCTATTAATGATATATGTATTTAGCGACTTTATAAAAACTTAACTAATTATAAATAATTTTTCAATGTCATGTTCGGTTAATTATATATCTTGCTTTTTTTAATATTAACGCAATCCTAAAAAAACTGGCATATATGTCTAATTACCATATAAATCTACTTTTTCATAAAATATGATAATTTAATTTGCAGCAAGTTTCGTAAAGCAATTTAGAATAATATTAAATCCATTTTGAAAAGATACCACTCTTTTCTTTTTTGCATAGATCAACAAAGAATCAACCGATGCTTGAATCGTTCATTAAAGTGAGGATTACCGTCATGTACATTTGGTGGGAGATCTCGTGTTTGTTTATACTCGTAGCCGTATATGAACATAACGTGTGTGCCGGATTCAGTCACATTCCACTTTATTATCGTCTAGTCAAGTCTAGTGTATGCACAGTGATCAGAGTCAGAGACGAAACTTTTCTCGTTCTTGCATCTTATACATTAACCGAAAAACTTTGATTAAAGATCGAACCGAAAAACAATGTTAAAGAATTGATATTGCGAAAGGTGCATATTATTGAAATACACGGTGATGAAATGCTTAATTTATAAACACAACCGGTTTGCCTTGCCTAGCATTATAACAATCACAAAACAGCAGCAAATTTGTAGCACGAGTCATAATGTAAATCGTGTATTCGACAAGCAAATTTGACTCTTTTCGACAAGATTTGCCGAGAGACAACGATGTGTACTTTCACTTGCGTATGCCGAAACCACGACGGATTCCCTAGATTCTATGTTGCATACACGTGTGTAAAAAAGCGTGCTCGCATAATTGTTGTCGCGACGAATTGCAACACCAGCAAGTCCGAAGGATAAATAATTAGCTAACCGCGAATTCTCGACTTGTCCGGTTACAAAAATATAAATTTCAAAAAATGAGTCAGGGTTATTAAAATTCTGAAATGCTGGCGTATTAAAAATATTTAAAGTTGAAACGCGAACGACACAGAAACTACGCGATAGAGTTGAATAAAAAAATTGAGTTGTCGATAAATATTCAAATTAAATTGATCTTAATTTAATATCGAAATTTATCGCACACAAGATATATTTAAAACGTAATTATTAAAATTATTATATGGTGACTATTAATACCTACTTGATTAATTCAAAATAATTAATACTTGATTCATCAATTTGTAGAATATATATAGAAAATTATGTTGCACAGTATTGATGGTCCTTCAAAAAAAATGTTTCTTACTAATATTTATTACGTAACAAAAATAAATTAAAATATGACATTTTTACTGAAAGAAAACAATTCGATTTTAATGAACGTGTCCCGTGCTAGTAACACAGATTTTTTTCCAGTTTAAAAATATACTTTTTATAATTGGATAATAGCATATAATATCACATCAATTTAGAAAAAAAGAATATCTCAACGTAATATCTCCTCATAACAGTTTTGTTACGTCTTGCAAATTACATGTTACTGCAACTGTGTTGTAATTGATTAATAATTTTGCAGCGACAATCATAATTCTTTTTATTATGCATATTGCTGTACAAGCATAAATTATTCTGTCTCCAACGTATTGTCATATGGATATATTATAGTTAGTAATAATAACAAATTATACATATATTTTGCAATATTTGAATGAAATTATTTCGTATCAATTTCGTGCTCCAGTTGCCTAATCCCTTAAACAAATTCAAATTTCTACATTTTTTAATTCTGTGAAGATATGCACACAAGGCAGAAAATTACACATAAGCACTAATTATTATTACACTCTTAATCGAATGTTCGGAGTATACATAAGCAATGCAGTAATAAGAGTTGTATATTAATAAGTTATTTTCTGTGAGTGATTTGTATATTATATATATTTATTATGTTTTATAATATATATATATTTTTAAACATGTATATATCGTAATATTTGAAGTAGAGAGCCCCTTTCCAATTTTGCGAAATTTTACAATATTGTGTACTTTTGTGTGTAAAACACAAATCTGTAAATTAAATTTGTCACTCTTAAATAGGAAAAATTACAGTGAATCCTGCCCCCCCCCCTCCCAGGAGGGAAGATACAGGTTTTAATTTACATAGATTTATGTTTCACGCATAAAAATACTATACAATATTGTGAAGTTTCGGGAAAATCGGAGATAATTTTCACCAAATTATTACCCAAAATTTGAGTAAAAATTGATGAGACTCACCGATACGATACATTTTCGTGTCGTGCCATTTTTTTCAAGGTCCATTTATCAAAGGACCTCATCAATGATTGACGATAGCAATAATTAACTTCTGCGATGTACTAGAGAAGTCGGCGATATTCCCAAATTGACCACTACATTATTACACACATCATGATCGGTACACGCGATGCGACCGGATTTATATAATAATTAACGATAATTAGCGTAAAGACACTTCAATAATTAATATATTCACACTCGTACTTTCGCACCTTTCTCGAATCTCGAACCTTCTTCTTCTTCTTCTTCTTATTCTTATTTGGCTGTTTGAGCTTTTATTAACTCATACACCATTTATTTCGAATCTCGAACCGGCGACAAGCGCATGAACAATGTGAAAATGCATCAGAGGGTAGCAACGTTTTAGATTATGTTTATATATTTCGGTCCGAGAATCTCTTTGTCCTGATTGGTCGAGCGCTTCACCCTAAATATATAATATATATTTGCAAACACCATCTAGAATGCGCTGCTACCCACAG